ACGTTTGATCGTATAATTGAGAGATTATTGAGTTAAACATCACATTTAAACACTTAGTTTAAATATGGCCAGTATCGTCACCAGGACTCCAGATGCCAAAAATAACTGTTAACATTTTTTCGCTATTTTTATATTCAGATATCTTTATTTAGTATTTCTATTATAAATAATTGTTTACAGTACTTTGAACAGTTTTAAAAATAGCTACATATTTAACTGTAAAACATTATAACTGAGTCCAATACAAAATTAACACACCGGTCAAAAAAGTGGTGAAAATAGCCGAGGAAATATTGAACGCCCTCTACTGGTCGGGTTAAGAAATCGGTTATGGGGTGTTATCCGCCCGGCATTTCTAATTAATTGTCAATGGTCGGAAATCGATAATGCAGGATAATTAACCCAATAATTAAAATCTTCAAAGTTGCCTTTCAAGTCTCATGCCACCAATGAGCCTATCAGCTTTCGGGTTTGTTTGTTTTTTTTTGGGGGGGGGGGGTCTTTGCATGGAAAATTACTCGTCTAATTATATTATATTATATCAAATCCAAGATCAACGAGAACTTTATTAAACCTTAATTATCACTTTTTCTGAAACGTGGTGTATGAGAGAGTACTTCATTTACGTCAGCTGTTAGACTTGTGTGAGTGTGTAGCTCTGTTTATTGACAAGTACCGGTGACCTGTGAATCTGGGTAACTGTCACACGCAACGTAATATTACCGTAATTGGTATAGTAAAGGTGTGATGGTTCAAATACCAAAATGGCAACAGTAACAGAAAGACTTCCCTGGCGGCGATGATAAAATACGAATACGGAGCCATCAGATGAGGTTTCAATTGGTACTGGTATTATTATACACTGCAAACATCAAGTACAATGACGTGGTAAAACTCCACTACTCCAATAACTAGATACTTAAACTCCAATACAATTCAACGAGATCTCCGATCTGATCTCAGTGCTGAACAACTCCCCTAATTATACCCACACTGTCCATAAATAGACCATTACATCAGCATACATAATGAGTCTGGAACTTACTACAAATTTCTAGAATGTTCCATTACCTTCTATTGCCTCCTACAGTGTTCTATTACCTATTCAACCATTTTCTAAACAAAATCTAGAATATTCCACCCAGACACAGTACGGTTCTAGAACATTCTCAGTGACACGGAAGTGGTAACTAAGTCGTATGCGACAGTAACTCTTGATTAAACATTTCCAGACTGGCCGCGTTTCTGAGAATATTGTAGGTAGAAAGACTGACAAATATGTGTGTTTTGTTTACATCCATTTGTAGGAGTTTGAGCTGGCCAACATGCGTTTTACTGGCCAGAATTCTATTACATACACGTGGTTTCAACAAATTAAAACTGCACTATTTTGATCTTTGTAACCTTTTTTTGAAGAAATTCACACAAACGCTAACATTGTCGTCTATGGAGTTCTGGTTAGTGGTATGAGCCCTTCACAGATGTGTAGTGCAGATAGATGGCTACGGTATAACATTACATATATATAGGCCAAGATTAGCCTGAGATGGACGGTGACCTATGAAAACTTAACATTCCCGTAGGTATGAGGTGTTCGTAACGTTTTGATAGCACTGTATTATTTTCAAATCACAGTTGTCAGACTAATTCATTTTCTAAGTAGCTTTGCTGGTAAGTCGTTAGTCTCAGTTACACGGGGCAATGCTCTCTGGTGATTGGACGCTTTTGTGTCGATACAATTGACATTCATTGATGAAAACGATGTCGTTCGAATCAACCACTGTGTTTGGTTATGTAGTCATTCGTCATCTGGAATATAATAAAATCTCATGATAAAATACTTATCGTTGATGGACGACTACATATCAAAACGATATCGATGCCATAGAAGTAGTTGGTGTATTCCCACGTTGCGACGCGTCGACTTCACCTACTTGTGCACAATTCGATATTAAATAAAGTCATTCATTTCTCTCTGGAGAATGTAATGCTGCTATACACTATTAACCTTATATAAATATACAGGGAAATATAATAAAATTAAAAGTATAAAGTGTGTAAAAAATATTATAATGGAAAGTAAACTGAATGAATTGTAATACTGTGCTGCAATTGGTGCGGTGTTGTGCTTTCTGGCACGACGATCATGCATCATGTATCAATATTAACCATTTTGCTTAGTTATATGAGTAATGTTACAGTAGTATTTTAATATGAGTACATGTAGTTCGTTTTGAGACAATGTTAAGTGTGTTAAGTAGTTTTGACAGCATCGCTTGGGTCTCAATTCCCGCACGTGCGCAGGTGACGACACCTCCGCTTTAAATGATCATGATCAATTTCCATGTTGTAAACGTACATGAATTTTTGGTTGCTCGAATAAAAGTGTAAATTTATATAAGAGTATAATGAATATATATGTAATGGTATTATAATGACGTAATGGATAACATTATTTTTTTGTATTATGTGAATTCAGTTGTATTCAAGTTCGTAAAGTGAATTTATTCTATAGATATATATACACATGGCCAAGCTGAAATGCTGCCCCTCCCTCGTCCCAGAGCGACTAAAAATAAGAATGACACGTGATTTTCAAGAGAACTGGAAATTAGTTCAAAAGAATGATTGATTGTCCTATAAATCGTTGCGCTATAAATTCGTACTGAATAAAAAAAAACAGTGTTTCCACATGACATCATTGTGGACTAATGAATACATCATCGTCTACTCGTACAGTTTCGTGTCTTTTCAAGTTCATCCCTCTCTCCAAGTAGCATTTGTATTACGCCTTAGAAATTGTTGATATTTTGATGAAAGCTGAACTTTTAACCACTTCCTATTTGTTTGATGTTCCGTTGCCTTACTACTTGGTCCAAACTAGCACGGCTAAGGAGCCTTGACTAATTAAGGAATAGTATTTAGGTTATGTGTTGATTAATTAATAAGAATATACAAACTGACAGATGCCAGTTTCAATATTAGTACAGTTATCGTTATTTCCTAGAGTGGGTGTAATTAGCCTTGTTTGTTTCTCAAGTGAGGTGTGGGCGCTCCGGATATTACCGACGATACGGGGAAGAAAAGGCCTGTCATGTCGTCAGCTCGTCACAATGGAAACAAATAGCCATCATGCGCAGATTAACACGTTGATAGGGGACCGACACGGTGCCGTTGTTTTGATTTTGCCAACTTGGCTACGCAGCCTCTCACAAAACCCGTAATTATTAGTTTAATAACTTGAGTAATTTTGTTCATTTATGGGTAAAACTTTGCAAATCATTAAATACGTGCTGAAATACATAATGTGGGTTTGACAATCTCCCGTGATTAAAAATAGTGGAAAACATATTTCAGGACACTTGTGTACGAACATTGTTTAGTTCAACACTACATCGGTGCCGTTGGTCACTATTGCCTAATGCCATTGCAACAGGAGAGTATCTGTCTAAAATCAACGAAGGCACTGCCATTGTTTGTTTGTTTGTTTGTTTTTTGGAGTGGGGTATCAACAAGATAATTACTGTAAGGAAT